AAAACTCTTAAGGGAATGTTCTCTAAAAGTTGTGGGAACGTTTGTTGTGAGCTGGGACCATGGGTGCTTCCCGTGAGTTTCTGTTTGTAAACAGGAAGCAGGAGTATAGAGTCTAGGCCTCCTGTAGCTCAGTTGGTAGAGCATGGCGCTTGCAACACCAGGGTTGTGGGTTCGTTTCCCACGGGGGGCCAGTATGAAAAATGTATGCACTCACTAACTGTAAGTCGCTCTGGATAAGAGCGTCTGCTAAATGACTAAAATTGATAGAAGTTGGGCATCATATGTCTTAGTGACAGAGAATTAAAATCACTGCCAACAAGAAAAGCATTCTCCGGGTGCATGTTTTCCTGCTGGTTTATAGCCTCATAGAGTTTGTCAAGTGCTTGTTGTTCTCCTGAGGCGGAATATACAGTGCATTCGGAAAGTATTCAGACCCGTTCACTTTTCCCACATTTTGTTAAGTTACAGTCTTATTCTAAAATTGATTAAATTGTTTTTTTCCCCCTCATCAATCTACATACAATACCCCATAATGACAAAGCAAAAACAGGTTTTTAAAAATTTTAGCTAATTTATTACAAAAGAAAAACGGAAATATTACATTTACATAAGTATTCAGACTCTTTACTCAGTACTTTCTTGAAGCACATTTGGCAGCGATTACAGCCTTGAGTCTTCTTGGGTATGACGCTACAAGCTTGAAACTCCTGTATTTGGGGAGTTTCTCCATTCTTCTCTGCAGATCCTCTCAAGCTCTATCAGGTTGGCTTGGGAGTGTCGTTGCACAGCTATTCTCAGGCCTCTCCAGAGATGTTCGATCGTGTTCAAATCTGGGCTCTGGCTGGGCCACTAAAGGACATTCAGAGACTTGTCCAGAAGCCACTCCTGCGTTGTCTTGGCTGTGTGCTTAGGGTCATTGTCCTGTTGGATGGTGAACCTTTGCCCTAGTCTGAGGTCCTGAGCGCTCTGGAGCAGGTTTTCATCAAGGATCTCTCTGTACTTTGCTCTGTTCATCTGTCCCAGTCCCTGCCACTGAAAAAAAATCCCAAAAGCATGATGCTGCCACCACCGTGCTTCACCGTAGGGATGGTATTAGCCAGGTGATGAGCGGTGCCTAGTTTCCTCCAGACGTGACGCTTGGCATTTAGGACAAAGAGTTCAATCTTTGTTTCATCAGACCAGAGATTCTTGTTTCTCATGGTCAGAGTCCTTTAGGTGCCTTTTGGCAAACTCCAAGCTGGCTGTCACGTGCCTTTTACTGAGGAGTGGCTTCCACTAAAAGCCTGATGTGGAGTGTTGCAGAGATGGTTGTCCTTGTGGAAGGTTCTCCGATCTCCACAGAGGAACTCTGGAGCTCTGTCAGTGGCCATCAGGTTCTTGGTCACCTCCCTGACCAAGGCCCTTCTCCCCCGATTGCTCAGTTTGGCCGGGCGGTCAGCTCTAGGAAGAGTCTTGATGGTTCCAAACTTCTTCCATTTAAAGAATGATGGAGGCCACTGTGTTCTTAGGGACCTTCAATGCTGCAGAAATTGTTTGGTACCCTTCCCCAGATTCCTTCGACCTCATGGCTTGGTTTTTGCTCTGACATGCACTGTCAACTGTGGGACCTTATATAGACAGGTGTGTGCCTTTCCAAATCATGTCTAATCAATTGAATTTACCACAGGTGGACTCCAATCAAGTTGTAGAAACATCTCAAGGATGATCAATGGAAACAGGATGCACTTGTGCTCAATTTAGAGTCTCATAGCAAAGGGTCTGAATAGTTATGTAAATAAGGTATCTGTTTTTTTTATTTTTAATAAATGTGCAAAAATGTCTATAAACCTGTTTTCGCTTTGTCATTATGGGGTATTGTGTGTAGATAGATGAAGGGAAAAAAAAACAATTTAATGCATTGTAGAATAAGGCTGTAACGTAACAAAATGTGGAAGAAGTCTAGGGGTCTGAATACTTTCCAAATGCACTGTATATACAGCAGTCACGATAACAGAAACTCTTGGGAGGTAGACGGGTCAGCATTTGACCATCAGGTATCATAGGTCCAGTTGGTAAACAATAGGTCCAGTTGGATGGGTAAACAATAGGTCCAGTTGGAGACAAACACCTGAAACAGCTTTTCCATGCAATCTAGAGCCATAATCATTACATCTAACTGTATGTAAAAAAATGTCTATTTTTCTGTATCGGTTATCTAAGCATACCTCTTTACCTGTTCAATTGTCATTTAAATTAATGATGCACATTGATCTTTTAATAACTTTTATGCCTTAAGAGTTCAGCACAATTGCCACACTTGTGCCTTCAGAAAGCATTCATACACCTTGACTTATTCCATATTTTACAGCCTGAATTCAAAATGTAATAATACTTTTTTCTCTAACCCATCTACACACAATCAAAGTGAACACGTTTTAGAAAATGTAGCAAATTTAATGAAAATGAAATATCTCAATTACATAACTATTCACACCGCTGAGTGACTCCCTGTTCACCCACGACTGTGTGGCCACGCATGACTTCAACACCGCCATTAAGTTCGCCGACAACACGACGATGGTAGGCCTGATCACCGGCGACGATGAGACAGCCTATAAGGAGGATGTCAGAGACCTGGCAGTGGGGTGTCAGGATAACTACCTCATCCTCAAGGTCAGCAAGCCAAAGGAGCTGATCGTGGACTACAGAAAACGGAGGGCCGAATCGACCCATACATCGACTGGGCTTTAGTGGAGCGGGTCGAGAGCTTAAAGTTCTTCGGTGCCCACATCACTAAGGACCTATCATGGTCCAAACACACCAACACAATCGTAAAGAGGGCACGACAATGCCTCTTCCCCTCAGGAGGCTGAAAAGATTTGGCATGGGCCCTCCGATCCTCAATTTTTTTTTTATATACAACTACACCATTGAGAGCATCTTGGCAAGCTGCATCACCACATAGTATGGCAACAGCTTGGCATCCGACCGTAAGGCGGCACAGACGTTAGTGCGTAAGTACATCACTGGGGTCGAGCTCCCTGCCATCCAGGACCTCTATATCAGGCAGTGTCAGAGGAAAGCCCAAAAAACTGTCAAAGACTCCAGCTACCTTAGTCTTAGGCTGTTCTCTCTGCTACAGCACGGCAAGCGGTACAGGAGCGCCAGGTCTGGGACCAACCTACCCTGTTTACCTAGTCACTTTTACCCCTACCAGTCAGAAGTTTGGACACACCTACTCAAGGGTTTTTCTTTATTTTTACCTTGTAGAATAATAGTGAAGACATCAAAACTATGAAATAACACATATGGAATCATGTAGTGACCAAAAAAGTGTTAAACAAATCAAAATATATTAGCCACCCTTTGCCTTGATGACAGCTTCGCACAAATCCTTTTAAATCCTTTTCAATCCTTGTCTTATGAAGATAAATTGCCTGCTTTATATATACACAACCGGTATAGATATCATATATATGCTGGTAGTGTGTATATATATATATACACACCATAGCTAGGTAACGCGTTGGCTACCGGTAACTCTATTTGTTACATAACTTTCCTAAGATTGGCAGACTTGCTTTTAGCGCTAGCTAAAGCCTGCCAACGCAAACTAACTACACTTTGTCTACAACCGTTCATCAAATCGGCTTAAATCTTTCTCGGCGACCGAGATAATTCATTTATACGTACCCATGTCAAAAGGCTCTCGCACAGTTCAACTCGATCCACAGAATCCAAGGTACTCATCGTAGCTAGTTCAATTAATCCACGTCGATCGCTCTTCTTTATCTGAAAATATGTCTAGACAGCCAGCTAGGCGAGATGAAATCAATAAGACCGAGATGTCTGATCAACTGGATAACCAAAAAACGAGGAATTATTATACGTAAAAAGCTAGCTAATCAGTTTTCCGACCGGACGGATACGGTCCCACGCTCTTTTCATTTGCATAAATACATACAGCGTCGAAAGAAAATATTATTTAATCATAAACAGAGACGCTGAAACACACGTCTACCGGTCTCCCCTCTGTCAAGCCTTTTTCCCACCCAGCTGGGATGGTCGTCACTAGTTACCATGGCCACAAAGTCATAAACTCCGCCTATTTCTACAATTTCTCTTCTTAAAATCTGATATAAACTTAACCCTAACCTTAACCACACTGATAACCTTATGCCTAACCCTGAATTAAAACCAAAAAGCTAGTTTTTGTTTTCAGATTTTTTAACGATATAAACTATTTAGACTTTGTGTCTGTGCTATCTAGTGGAAACCAAAAATAATACCACTCTGTAGTAGGGCCAGAACGGAAACCTCGAGCCTGAATAGGATCATCCGTCTTTATCAACGTTAGTAAATCCATAAAACCTCTAAAAGCAATCCAAGTCATCATAAGCATATATGAAGAAGTACAAAAAAATATATAGAATTATTTATTTCATGAAAATGTGAATAAATACATTGGGTTGAATTTAGAGAAGGCAGTAATTGGGACGCCATGTATAGGTGGGCTGTGAAAAGGACCTTTCTAAGAATGCGGAAGTGGAGCAGCCAATTCCAATGGATCGTTCTTATTGTACTTCAGTGCAATGGATAGGTAACCATAACCTTCAGCATACTGCTAGCATTTTGCCGAACCCAAACCTTAATTAAGACCAAAAAGCACATTTTTGTTTTCGTTCATTTTCTATGATATAGCCAATTTTGACTTTGTGGCTGTTCTATCTAATGGATAGGGTGATACTTTTAGCTTGTAAACATTTAACGTTACGCACCTGACCTTATTTAGCCCTGTTTCGTTCTTATTATCCGCATTGGCTATAGTTTAGCAATACGCCAGATATAGCCTAAGTCATATTTAGCTATAAACTCTGGCTCTGCGTTGAGTGGTTTGTGTTCTGTAGCTAGCTAACAGTAACGTTGCCTCACTGTAGCTAGCTATCTAGCTAGATAGGGGGAGTTGTGGCTGGATGTAGCTATGTGACTCATATTCTCTCTCTCTCTCTCTTTTCTAACCCAGTTCTGTAGGATATGATTAAGTGGGATGGATGAAAACAATGGATGTGGGGAGCTGGACTATTTGCTGCAAGATGAACACTCACTCATAGAGGGAGTCAGCAACCCTGTCCTGTTTGTGGTCGTTCTCAGTGTCACGTTCCTGTGTGGACTGGTGACTCTGCTCTGCAGGTCTAGTAATTATTGACATTCTTATGGGAATACATGGTGTTATGATGTTTTTGTAACCAGTTATTAACTTTTTTTTAAAATGTTTATTACTTTCCTAAATTATACATATAAGCTCAGCAAAAAAAGAAACGTCCCTTTTTCAGGACCCTGTCTTTCAAAGATAATATGTACAAAACCAAATAACTTCACAGATCTTCATTGTAAAGGGTTTAAACACTGATTCCCATGCTTGTTCAATGAACCATAAACAATTAATGAACATGCACCTGTGGAACGGTCATTAAGACACTAAAAGCTTACAGACGGTAGGCAATTAAGGTCACAGTTATGAAAACTTAGGACACTAAAGAGGCCTTTCTACTGACTCTGAAAAACACCAAAAGAAAGATGCCCAGGGTCCCTGCTCATCTGTGTGAACGTGCCTTAGGCATGCTGCAAGGAGGCATGAGGACTGCAGATGTGGCCAAGGCAATAAATTGCTATGTCCGTACTGTGAGACGCCTAAGACAGCGCTACAGGGAGACAGAACGGACAGCTGATCGTCCTCGCAGTGGCAGACCACGTGTAACAACACCTGCACAGGATCAGTACATCCGAACATCACGCCTGCAGTACAGTTACAGGATGGCAACAACAACTGCCCGAGTTACACCAGGAACGCACAATCCCTCCATCAGTGCTCAGACTGTCCGCAATAGGCTGAGAGAGGCTGGACTGAGGGCTTGTAGGCCTGCTGTAAGGCAGGTCCTCACCAGACATCACCGGCAACAACGTCGCCTATGGGCACAAACCCACCGTCGCTGGACCAAACAGGACTGGCAAAAAGTGCTCTTTACTGACGAGTCGTGGTTTTGTCTCATGGTCGGATTCGCGTTTATCATTGAAGGAATGAGCGTTACACCGAGGCCTGTACTCTGGAGCGGGATCGAGGTGGAGGTTCTGTCATGGTCTGGGGCAGTGTATCACAGCATCACCGGACTGAGCTTGTTGTCATTGCAGGTAAACTCAGCACTGTGCGTTACAGGGAAGACATCCTCCTCCCTCATTTGGTACCCTTCCTGCAGGTTCATCCTGACATGACCCTCCAGCATTACAATGCCACCAGCCATACTGCTTGTTCTGTGTGTGATTTCCTGCAAGACAGGAATGTCAGTGTTCTGCCATGGCCAGCGAAGAGCCCGGATCTCAATCCCATTGAGCACGTCTGGCACCTGTTGGATCTGAGGGTGAGGGCTAGGGCCATTCCCCCCAGAAATGTCCGGGAACTTGCAGATGCCTTGGTGGAAGAGTGGGGTAACATCTCACAGCAAGAACTGGCAAATCTGGTGCAGTCCATGAGGAGGAGATGCACTGCAGTACTTAATGCAGCTGGTGGCCACACCAGATACTGACTGTTACTTTTGATTTTGACCCTCCCGTTTGTTCAGGGACACATTATTCAATTTCTGTTAGTCACGTCTGTTGAACTTGTTCAGTTTATGTCTGTTGTTGAATCTTGTTATGTTCATACAAATATTTACACATGTTAAGTGTGCTGAAAATAAACGCAGTTGACAGTGAGAGGACGTTTTCTTTTTTTTGCTGAGTTTATTTGTTTTCAACTGATATGCCAGTGAATATTGTAGTTGGCAAGTTGTAGGTGTGTTTTTAATATCTGAACCTAAAGATGTTTTTGATTCTACACATCTCTTTCTGAAGAAATGAGCAGCATGACATCCACCCAGAGAGCCAGGAACATGTCCGTGCCGTCCGGCAGCAGCTGCAGTCCGAATCTCAGGTGAGAAGATCTGGCACTGTAACTGTCCCTTGGCAGCTCCTTCCTTTCTACAGCGGGGTCATGTTCATTAGGCACCAAATGGAAGAAAATGTACTGATACAAAGAGGGACTAACTGGACTAGTTTAATCCATTTCAAAACGATTTCTGTTGTGTCCCCTAATGAACAGGACCCTGGTATTGTATCTCATTAGTTTCTCCTCCATGAAAGTATCATACCACACCCTTCGCTCTCTCCGTCCCTCAGGAAGGTGAACCAGCCGAGCCAAGGCAACAGTTCTATACAGACATGTCCTGTCCAGTGTGTCTACAGCAGGCTGTGCTGCCAGTGGAAACCAACTGTGGACATCTCTTCTGTGGTGAGTAGACTGAGAGGAACAAGGAATCAGAACCAGGCCATAGCAGAGTATGTGAGCAGAGCTGGAGTTGAGCGTGCCCAATTTGACTGGAGCGTGGATTGAGTTTCCCAAAGGCTGGAGCGTCGGCCTTCTCCCAAAGGCTGGAGCGTCGGCCTTCTCCCAAAGGCTGGAGCGTCGGCCTTCTCCCAAAGGCTGGAGCGTCGGCCTTCTCCCAAAGGCTGGAGCGTCGGCCTTCTCCCAAAGGCTGGAGCGTCGGCCTTCTCCCAAAGGCTGGAGCGTCGGCCTTCTCCCAAAGGCTGGAGCGTCGGCCTTCTCCCAAAGGCTGGAGCGTCGGCCTTCTCGCCCGCTCCAATTTTGCTCCAGTAGCGCTCATTTCACCAGCTCAGGGCGCGGCCCGGCCCAGCATGCATTTGTAGTCTACTTGTGTGCTGTTACAGCCCCTTGCTTTAGCTACTGTCATCTAGTTTGCTAAATCTTTTCATAAAGAAACTGATAAAACACACAGGTGAAAAATCAAGGTGAGTTACAAACAATGTTCCCTTTTTTTCGGCACTGAGCAAATTTCAGGTCTGCTGAGCGCAAACTTGAATGTTGTGAAAATTCTGTGCAAATGAGGCTGAACACGTTTTAAGTTACAGTTTTAACAGTGGCTATTTGATCATAATGTAGGCCTACCAGAGTGGCTTACCATCAAAAACAATGGAGAAAACGCATCCCATAACATTTTAACATGGAAATATCTGTTCTATCATTCAGCCTACAGCAGCAGCCAATGTGTGGTGTTTAATGTAGACCTATATATGGCAATGTTCTATTTGCATATAGGCCTACTGCAGCTCTGATTGGTTATGCCACACCAGTCTGTGTCGAGTAGGGGCTGAGTCCTGCCTGTCAATGCAATAGAATCCTACTCCGAAGCGTTCTGCCAAAAAGACAAAGACAAAATCTCTTGCATAGTTCGTTTTGTTTCGGTATGTTTCATTGAAAGTGGCTAATATTGCGTTGATTCGATCACACTTGCCACAGTAAAGGGAAATGTTGGTAGTGTTAACATGGAAAACTCTAGAACAGTGGTCACCAACCTTTCCTGAGTCGAGATCACTTTGAGTCAAAATGCAAGCCGAGATCTACCGCTCAGATTTTTTAATCTTTTTTACATGACTTAAAAAACGTAAGCCTGTGCAACATTAACCAATTAAAAACAGTTCTGTAGCAATGAGGTTTGTGCGGTAAGCTATAAGACCCACACATTATCACCACATATTAGCTTTGCTTGAATTGCCCTGCCAATGCATTGTTGTTTGGACAATTTAAAAAAAGTATATTTCAAAATTTGAAGTAGGCTACATGATCACACCGGTCATAGTTCTATTGTGTTACTTGTGAAGCACAGCTGAGTGAGCAGACATTTAAAATCATTTGCTTTTCATACTGAACAAAAATATAAACGCAACAATTTCAAAGATTCTACTGAGTTACAGCTCATATAAGGAAATCAGTCAATTGAAATACATTTGTTAGGCCCTAGTCTATGGATTTTACATGGCTGGGCAGGGGTGCAGCCATGGGTGGGCCTGGGAAGGCATAGGCCCACCCACTTGGCAGCCAGGTGAGCCAGGCCCAGCCAATCAGAATGAGTTTTTCCCCACAAAAGGGCTTTATTACAGACAGAAATACTCCACAGCATTTTCCCTGTGTCCAATGACCTTGAGCCTTCTTGGACGGGCACTTCTACTGTAAATCTATGGCAGCACCCAAGGGGGGCTTGAACTGCCTAGGTCTCCCTGTAGATTCTGTGGTGACGTAGTGTCCCCATGAGTGACAGAACACTGAGCCAATCACGGTGCAAGTAGAGAACATTACCAACCCCTACGCTCCGTATTTTCCGCTGGCTGCCCCTCCACCAGAGAAAGCACTGAGCTAGGCTGAAACACCTGCATTTTGGAGCGGCTTTATTAACTCAAGGAGTTTATTTGTACATTGTTTTTTTTATTTTTTTGGGGGTGGGGGGGGGTGGATCAGCTTAATATTGCTGATAGATTGTATCTTCTATCAATGTAATTGTTTGCATCACTTCCAATCCCCCATGTTTTTATATATATATACTCCCCTTTATTACTTTCCAACCCCGCCATCCTTTCCCTACTTGGGGTAAATTAGTGAACAACAATGCCCAGGCCTCTACTTCCGGTCTATACTTACTATCTACACCTTATTTGTACATTGTTTGCAAACTGATATCTAACATGAATTAATGCCAAAATAACATGCAAAATAGGCCAATTATAATGTACTTTTTTTTTATGAGCACTTATTACAGTAACCATTCCTGTTGTTTATTAAAATACTTTTCATTCAAATCATTTGGTTTAGTTTCAATACTTCAAAACCAATTGGTAGATCCAGGTAGTCACAAAAATAGATGGGTGTTGGTTAAATTGTGATTTTAATGAATGGAGCGAATTTGGAGCAGGATTTTTTTTTCTTCCTGTGAGCGCGGAGCGGTTTTTAGCGGCGCGGTTGGAAAGCACATGGAGCGCCTGAGAGGTGAGCAAGCAACTCTCCATGAGCTATGAGTGGGATTTCCAACCGCTCAACTCTGCTCACATACTCTGGTGTGCATAGAGTCAGTACAGGTAGGGTCAGTACAGGTAGGGTCAGTACAGGTAGGGTCAGTACAGGTAGGGTCAGTACAGGAACAAGGAATTAGAACCAGGCCAGCTATTGACTGATTTTAAGCCATTGGATGATAGATCCATCTGGATATGATCAAGTTTTCCTGTATTTTGAAGGTTCTTGTGTAATTGCGTATTGGAGATATGGGACGTGGCTCGGTGCAATCAGTTGTCCCATCTGCAGACAAATGGTGAGACTAAATGCTGGTTACAGCTTTTTCCTGTGCCTGCTTTCAACACATTTTGTTATCGTACACACCTAGTAATACAACTTATCCACACATTGTTAAAACATACAGTACCTTAACTATTCTTTTGGATTCTGAAATGAAATGAAAATAATATTTACAACAGAGTGTAGTAGTGCAGTTGTTCTCACGAACATCTCTCTCCTATGTGAACAGGTGACCCTGCTCTTCCCGCTCTTCCATGAGCATCCCTCCCCTCAGCAGGTGCAGGATGGAATGGTTGAACCACTCCTCGTCCTCCGGGATCTCAACGACTACAACCGCAGGTTCTCAGGACAACCCAGATCTGTGAGTTTAATTTGCCACATCAGTATTTCTCTCATGCACTTAGAGAGAATTATTATTATTATTATTATTATTAGTGGATAAACTGAAAGAAGCACTGGATAAACCGAGAGAGAGTCTGCGCTGAATTGATTCCTTGAAATTTCCGTTCATTGAATTTAAATCATAGTTACTCACTCCCCATTCTGTGCTGTGATGTCATATTTAAGCACTGCTGGTCCCAGATCTGTTTGCGCCGTCTCGCCAAACTGTATTGCGTTGCCAATGATCATAGGAGTTGGCAAGACGGCACGAACACATCTGGAATCCGACTAATGCTACTGCTTCAACACTGCCTTTTTAACTCCGCTGCTCTCCCCCGTCTCAGCTGATGGACCGGCTGCGTGACGTGCCCACGTTGCTGCGCCACCTCTCCAGGGAGATGTTCTCCGTAGGGGGCCTGTTCTGGATGTTCCGGATCCGTGTCCTGCTGTGTCTGATCGGGGCTCTGACCTACCTGGCCTCCCCTCTGGACTTGATCCCTGAGGCTCTGTTCGGCCTGCTAGGCTTCATGGACGACATCTTCCTCATCCTACTCCTCTTCATCTACATCTCCATCATGTATAGAGAGGTGGTGACCCAGAGACTGGCAGACTGATGTAGAGAGGTGGTGACCCAGAGACTGGCAGACTGATGTAGAGAGGTGGTGACCCAGAGACTGGCAGACTGATGTAGAGAGGTGGTGACCCAGAGACTGACAGACTGATGTAGAGAGGTGGTGACCCAGAGACTGGCAGACTGATGTAGAGAGGTGGTGACCCAGAGACTGACAGACTGATGTAGAGAGGTGGTGACCCAGAGACTGGCAGACTGATGTAGAGAGGTGTTGACCCAGAGACTGGCAGACTGATGTAGAGAGGTGTTGACCCAGAGACTGGCAGACTGATGTAGAGAGGTGTTGACCCAGAGACTGGCAGACTGATGTAGAGAGGTGTTGACCCAGAGACTGGCAGACTGATGTAGAGAGGTGTTGACCCAGAGACTGGCAGACTGATGTAGAGAGGTGGTGACCCAGAGACTGGCAGACTGATGTATAGAGAGGTGGTGACCCAGAGACTGGCAGACTGATGTAGAGAGGTGGTGACCCAGAGACTGGCAGACTGATGTAGAGAGGTGGTGACCCAGAGACTGGCAGACTGATGTAGAGAGGTGTTGACCCAGAGACTGGCAGTGTGAATTAAAACTTTATTGTCCGCTCGACTGCACAGAAATGAATTGTATAGGAACCAGGTGGACTAGATTAGACACAGTGCCAGGCCCAGTGGCCTATGATCGAATAGTTTCAGGTCAAAGGTAGTCCCCTGTAGCTCAGTTGGTAGAGCATGGCGTTTGCAACGCCAGGGTTGTGGGTTCGATTCCCACGGGGGGCCTGTATGAAGAAGAAGAAAAATGTATGCACTCACTAACTGTAAGTCACTCTGGATAAGAGCGTCTGCTAAATGACTAAAATGTAAAGGCACTCGGTGAGGAGGGTGCTCTGTGTCTGTTGTTTTGGCCTGGCGTTCCACCATGCACAGGAGGGTGCTCTGTGTCTGTTGTTTTGGCCTGGAGTTCCACCATGCACAGGAGGGTGCTCTGTGTCTGTTGTTTTGGCCTGGCGTTCCACCATGCACAGGAGGGTGCTCTGTGTCTGTTGTTTTGGCCTGGAGTTCCACCATGCACAGGAGGGTGCTCTGTGTCTGTTGTTTTGGCCTGGAGTTCCACCATGCACAAGATTGGGGACTAGTTACTGTGTCTGCTGGCATCAAAATGTCTATGATTTGAGAGTCCTAAAGTTAATATTCAGATAAAAGTCACAATGTCAGCTTGTTTCATCAGTTGAGATGTAATCCTATTGAATCTAAAAAATATTCTGTTTGTGTGTGGAGAAACTGGCTAGTTACCAACGGCTGCTGGATTCAATCTAGTCTTTGTACAAATAGCTGTGCTGCCCTGCATCATTACTATGGCACATAAAATCAATCTGGAAAAAATATGTGACATGTTAAAGAGGCTATTATCTCATGATAATCTGATGTGTAAGGATTAATGTGAAATAATATTATTATTAATGAGGAAATAAAACCATTTAAACAAAAATAATTACCTTTGTTACAGATTACGATGATATTGTCTCTTTTAGCCCAAGGGCTACTAGTCTTCCAAGAGTCCTTAAGAAATGTTTTTTTTTTTAAAGTACAGACATTTTGAAAAACAACAAAAGCAAAGTATAAGCAAAAAAACCCCCACAAAGATCCACATTCCTCATGTTACCCCCAGACCCCACCACATTCCTATGACCTCATGTTACCCCCAGACCCCACCACATTCCCATGACCTCATGTTACCCCCAGACCCCCATGACCTCATGTTACCCCCAGACCCCCCTCCCTCCACATACCTCATGTCATGGGATTTCAAATGTAATATTTGTCCCTCTACGCAAACCTCAGGTTTACGGTTGACGTGAGAAAAGTTCTGGCAGAGAGATAAAACTAGTGTCTGGGCATTTGTCCTGACACTTTTCATTATGAATGACGTTCAGTGATGGTACATGAGAATTCTAGCCTGGGTACCAGTCTGTTTCTTGCTGTCTTGTTTAGCCTGGGTACCAGTCTGTTTCTTGCTGTCTTGTTTAGCCTGGGCACCAGTCTGTTTCTTGCTGTCTTGTTTAGCCTGGGTACCAGTCTGTTTCTTGCTGTCTTGTTTAGCCTGGGCACCAGTCTGTTTCTTGCTGTCTTGTTTAGCCTGGGCACCAGTCTGTTTCTTGCTGTCTTGTTTAGCCTGGGTACCAGTCTGATTCTTGCTGTCTTGTTTAGCCTGGGTACCAGTCTGTTTCTTGCTGTCTTGTTTGGCATGACAAGGCGTGCCATAAAGGCGTGAATACCTCTGAGAATTCTGGTTCTTATCAAATGGCGAATGGTGAATAGTTATGCATGCTCAAGTTTTCAGTTTTTTTTTTGTGAATTCTTGTTTGTTTCACACAACAACAACAACAACAACAACAAAACATTTGCATCTTCAAAGTGGTAGGCATGTTGTGTAAATCAAATGATACAACCCCCCCCCCAAAAAAAAAAATCCATTTCAATTCCAGGTTGTAAGGCAACAAAGTAGGAAAAATGCCAAGGGGGGTGAATACTTTCGCAAGCCATTGTAGTGTGTGTGTTGGGGTGTCAGTCAGGATTTCCGTTAGCCGGTAATAACCGATTAAAATAAGTAAATAGATAAGCCGATGAATAAAGACCAATTATCTGGGAGGAGAAAACAAAAATCCCATTGCGAAATAAATATTTTTCTTCATTTTCTTCTTCGTTTCAAACCAGAACGTTTTCCTTCATATTATGAGGCATGTCTTACCCTTGCTTCAAAGGACCCTAGCCAAAATCAGACCATGTCCATGGAGGAAATTATTTTATATTAACTTTCTTTCATTGTCCAGTAGCCGAAGGCACAATCCTAGTCATGTTAGCAACCCATGCTAGTTGTTGCGTGTAAGATCTCCCCTCTTTCAAAATTTCTAACAGATATTTTCATCTCTGTCGCTGACAACAGTGTTTTCCTGCTAATTGCATTATGGGACGAACATTCACCCGTAGACAGCTACCAGCAATGACAATGCGGGGAATCCTAGGTGGCTCATTTCAGCTCGTTTCCTCTTGTTCTTCATACCATGTCTTGTTGTGACTGATGTCACGTCAATGCTAATATGGCAAAAAAAAAATGCTAGCTAGCTAACCGACAACTGTAACCATGTATTTGAGGCAACAAGTGCTCATTGTGCAAATTTATTCATGTTTTCGATAAACATTGTTGACGAAATTTAGTTTACGTGTTGTCAACAATCTAAGCCAACCCCATCTCTTTTGCCCCATAGTTGCACATGCGCCTGTTTTGTTGCTAAACAACCAACCCGTCTGTAGCATCTGAGGTTTGGTATACTCTTAGGGCTGGTTTCCCAGACACAGATTAAAACTAGTCCTAGACTAAAATGCAATTTCAATTGAGATTCTTTATTAAGCATTCTTTTTAGTCCAGGAATATGCTTAATCTGTGTCCGGGAAACTGGCCCCTAGAGTTCCAGGTTATTGTTATGGAAAGGTTCCGGATCGAAGGGCAGAGAGCCAGACTTGCACAATGCTGTGTCTCAACAACAGCAGCAACATATTTTTAGGCCTCATTAAAAAATGTATTAAGATCTATCATTATGTATCTCTTTTAAGAGGTAAGGTTTTCTTGAGAATATTTACCTCTTTATGGGGGTGTCATATCATAGTGTGTGCGTCTGTCTGGAACCTGCACCCCAAACGCCACCACTTCCACCTCTGGGTAAGACGTGTGTGTGTGTCCCCTGTATATCTGGGCCCAGCCAGGCCGTTCATGTTTCAAGGGCAGAGCGGATTACAGTAACACCACCTCTTATCCTCTTATTGTTGTTGTTAGATCTGTTGTTGAGGTGACCTCTTCAGTGTGGACTATTCTGGGTTGATCTAAGAAACAAGGAGAGAATTAAAAGATTGTATAAAAGTACAACTGTTGACCCAGAAGGGACACATTGACACTAAAGGGAAGTGTACTCAATGAACTGCAGTGTTTATCTTCATGACAACACTCTTTTGACTTTCCTTGTATCTATGTGCGGGTGTTCAGGTGAACTAAATTCAAATAACTTGTACCATTTTTAAGACTACGACAAAGTATCCTAAAGTCATCTCCCGTCTGGATTACTGCAACTCGCTGTTGGCTGGGCTCCCTGCCTGTGCCATTAAACCCCTACAACTCATCCAGAATGCTGCTGCCCGTCTGGTGTTCAACCTTCCCAAGTTCTCTCACGTCACCCCGCTCCTCCGCACACTCCACTGGCTTCCAGTTGAAGCTCGCATCTGTTACAAGACCATGGTGCTTGCCTATGGAGCTGTGAGGGGAACGGCACCTCCGTACCTTCAGGCTCTGATCAGTCCCTACACCCAAACGAGGACATTGCGTTCATCCACCTCTGGCCTGCTGGCCCCCCTACCTCTGCGGAAGCATAGTTCCCGCTCAGCCCAGTCAAAACTGTTTGCTACTCTGGCACCCCAATGGTGGAACAAGCTCCCTCACGACGCCAGGACAGCGGAGTCACTCACCACCTTCCGGAGACATTTGAAACCCCACCTCTTTAAGGAATACCTGGGATAGGATAAAGTAATCCTTCTACCCCCCCCCCCCCCCCCCCCCCCCCCCCTAACAAAATAAAAAAAAATAAGTATATATAAAGTGGTTATCCCACTGGCTATAGGGTGAGTGCACCAATTTGTAAGTCGCTCTGGATAAGAGCGTCTGCTAAATGACGTAAATGTAAAAATTTAATTGTGATCCTACGATACTGTGTTGTAATTGTATATGAACACCAGTGGGCAGCATAGGCCAATGTAAAAGAAGAGACCAGATGCATGAAAGATGTTTCAAATACCTTGCTGGCTTCTTTTTATATATATATATTATTATTTTTATTTAACCTTTATTTAACTAGGCAAGTCAGTTAAGAACAAATTATTAATTACAATGACGACCTCTAATGCATTATATCCTTTCCTATAGCCATGTTTCCCCAGCTTAGAGTTGTGCTTTCTGCTTCAA